ATAAAAGAGATTAATATTTTTATGTTATTTAATTCCCTCTTGGTCACATAAAAATTTATAAAAACATAGGCATATTATATCGTCTGTCAATTTAAATTTCACTCAAATTCTGATTTTGGGAGACAAACTGAGTGATACATAAAGTAACTTATTGGTAGGGCAAATATTATCTATCTATTATCTACCATTTCAATATTGGCTAGATAATGTAGGTTAAATGCGGAGTAAGGGAGTTCATAGATAAGTTACAGGCTTTTAAATTTTAATATATATTTTTAAAATATACATTTATTTAGTCCGTCTTCTTCACCCCAAGCTAATCAGTGTTTGCAAAACTCGTAATTTTAAATTGAACTATTCTGTAGGCTAATCTATTCTCCCTTCTTACAAACATCAAGGGTTTGCTGCTACCTCATTGTTTCTCTACATCTATTCCCATGAAATTGATAAATGCAAAACTAAGATAACAAATTATCAAATACATATATAATTTGTAAGCAGAAATATTTACACACCTGATAATCCATCAAGATGGCGTCCAATAAGGGCGGTATAAAGTTGTCCATAACTAATTGATTGTCATTGGAGCGCGATACCCATTCGGCTATCAAATTGAGGGTCTCCTTCTTCACGACATGCATTGATTTGATCAGCGGCTGATTGTTCACATTGACGCCATTCACCTCAATGGCCTGAATGATGTTCTCCGATGTGATCTTGTACACATTTAGCATATCCAAATAAATCCGACCCAATTGAATGACATAGGCGTGACCCAGTGCTTTGCAGGCGGCCACATTTGTCTTCAGTATGCTGCCCAGCTGCTTAACGGCTGTCATGTTTTTCAGAAAATCGACATTTTTCGATGCCCGCGATATGATATCGTCCCACACCTGATTCGGCAACAGCATGTACCGTTCTATAAGCGCATCCTGTTGCACCTGATCCACTTGAGCAGAGATCATATAGCCGACTGCCTCATAGAATGTGTGTACCTTAAAAGGAAGAGTTAAGCCATTTCATTTAGGCCGTCAGTGTGCATTGTTGCCACGTCGCTTACCTGTTGCGGCTGCAGATCACATATTATGCTGCTCATAGTACTGAGAATCTCGTCAATGAAGGTGCACGCCTCGTTCGGCTGTATTGTAACAAAATAGCGACGACACTTAATTGCTATCTTAATGAATGTGTCGCAGGCCATGTCCTGGACACCGTCGTGCGTTTCGTGCATAAATTCAAACAGCTTGTTCACCACCGTCTTTAGGAATTTCCAATGGGCGCGAAGAAAGCGTGGATACTGTCCCACCACATACATAATATTGGATGCAATGATCGCCTTATTGTCCTTGCCCTTCTTCTGTTCGCAGAGTCCAAGCAGGTCCTTGATGACAGTGACCAGAAATCGTTTTTCATCTTCTTCACAGAATGCGCCTGCAGAAAGATAAATGTAAAATATATAAATTAATTTGAATTTAATTTTGATTAATTAACTCTTGTTTAAATTATCTTTTCATTTTGTTTGTTTCGTCTTTTTCAAGTTTTAATTAAAATAAATATTTTTAAATTTAATCGATTTTCAGATTATAAAAACTTAAAAGCTTACCCGATATTGAGCCAATTGCCCAGCATAGAGTGTTGAGATTTTTCCAGGAGAATTCAGTGCCATTGACCTGATTTAATAGCTTAAGGGTCATAATCCGATCCGTATCCGCACAATCCAAATGGGTGAGAAACACCAAGGTTTCCCTCATATTTTTGTACAAATTAATCGAATTGGTGTCCTTCATAAATTCGCGAACCACTTCGCCATTCTCGTTCTCGACAACAAGAACTTCCTCTGGCTTGGCCATGCGAGAAATCATGATGAAGCGAACCTTAGACAAAATTGGTGCATAGAATCGACGCCGGGGATAAACTTGCTGTCGCTTCGATGACTCCAGTGTGGGTGGAAAGAATTCGGTATTGTACAGATTCTCGACAAGGCAATTCCAGTACTCCAGACAGATTTTGAACACCTCCACATCCTCAACCTCACTGATCATGACCAGATACAGGAGTGCCTGGTTCAAGTAATCCACATACTTGGCATCTTCCACAAGTTTGCCATGCTCCTTGAGGAACGTGCAGAGGAACATGGCCAGATTCAGCACCAGCTCCTGTTCCGTATCGCTGCCGCACAGGAACACTTGATTCATATTCATATTTTGACCAATTATCTGGTCCAGCTGCACCATTGTGTCCTTGAACAGCGTTGCAAAATTATCGTTGTAATTGGCCGCCGATAAGCCCGCAATTTCGGATAGGCACTTCAGGGTTACATTGCGAAACATCGGAACGCTCAGAAACTTGAAGATCAAAGTCTCTATAAGCGTCGTTTCGAAGATGTAGCCCAATGGTATCCAGTTGAGAAAGCGCAGTAGCGTCTCTAGCGTGACCTGTATCAGCGCCGCGTTCATTGAATTCTCCAGCACAAACGAACAGAGGGTAAAAATTTGAGAAAATTCCGAACACATCGTATCCTTCAAATGCTTGGCCTTCGTCTGTGTTATTTGCCCGAGCGAGAAATCAAAGACCTCTTCGCTCAGATTTTTCAATATAACCATATTGTTCATGCACAGGCTCTCGTTCGTTTTCGATGCACCGACTATATCGCTGATGAACGTCTCCCAGTTGCGCGGCCATTCGCGCTTAAGGATCTGCACCAATATCATATTCAGCTTATTCAAATAAACTTTGTTCTGCTCCATGATGGCCGGATCCGAGGATGTTTTTATGATTAGGCTGACGACATACTTTTTGATGCCCTCGCATTGATTGCGTGGAAGCACCTTCCAGCGTGTCTTGATCACCTCCTCGAGAATTTGGAGCGCATAAAACTTGGTTTGCTGATTCTGTGAATATTCGAGTATACTGTCGACACGCGTCCAGGCCTCCGGATGCTCCTTTAGTGTGGTTAGTATGTCCTGCGCCAGTCGCAACTGCTCACCCTGCGATGAGTAGAGCGCCTCCACAATCTTATCGAGCAGATTAATGTCTAGCTTCTGGTTGAAGTCGAGCAGTTTGCTCGCTTCATCGGAGCTCAACATCGCCATCGCTTTGTAGTAAAAGCAGCGTTCGCGTCTGCGTCGCTCAGCAGCAGCAGCACCAGCAGTCGCTGTGTCCGCGTTAATTTTGATTGATTTTCGCTTGCTCCTCCGGCTAAAACGAGTGGGGAATGCGCGTCAGTGATGAAATCTGTGGTAGCTGGCAGCTGCTGTTTGGTTGATGGGTCGCCTGGTCGCCTGGATTGACTCTATAGGAGAATCGAACATATCGAAAATTACATTTATCGGCATAAAGGCAACCATATTTCTTTTTTACATACATTTACGTATGTTTTCTTATTTTCTACACACATGTACACACAAACACCAATGAACGATTGCTTGTGGCGCGCTTACTTTTTTTTCGCACATACGAGCACACACACACTCTCACACCGTAGAGATGAGCGATATTTGCGTACCTGTTACTTATCCCAAGCATCTCCCAGTGCTCGAGTCACTAGTAGTTAAGTGACGAACAAAAATTGAAATCATTTTTTAAATTTATTCTCAAATAAATTAAAACGATCGTGAGATTTGTGTTTAATGTCGTGTTTCATGTTTATATTAACAGGCAGAATCAGAAATCTGCATTATTGCTGCATGTCACGGTCATTTCAGATACGGCTCATCTCTAGCACACACAAATACACACGCACACACATGCCGCTTACACATGCAAAATACAATCAAAGCAGCGCAACGCATCTCGAGACTGCGACGGCATTTCACAAATCTATAATGTACGCACGGCTTTGGGTTGTTGTACAACACATTTGTTGTTTAATTAAACGCGCTCTTAGACACATTTAATTTATATTAACTTTCACACGCACTTACCTAGATTTAGAAAAGCGTTGCAACCTACGATTCCCAAGAAACAGCGTGGAAAACGAAAGCGCAAAACGAGTGAAAAGACTACAACGTTTTTGTCCAGACAGGGAAAAAATTTATTTTCATTTGCGAGATGCACAAGTCAATTTTATATCTTTTGTCGCAAAATACATGCACGCTGAGCGATTTTTTGCTATTTGGTTAACAACGGTTGACGTTGTGACCAATTTGTATGTTTGAAACAAACTTTTTCGCAGTACTTTTCTTCTCCTTCAGTAGTGAAAACCAGGGATGGACCACAAGCGTCATGCGCGGTGCCGGAATCGAGTAGAGTTTATATAAACAGAAGTAAGGTATAGAGACCACAAAGTAAATAGGAAGAAATCCTTTAAAGAAGATTCTAAATTTTTTAAATTATGAAGTCAACCCGTATTTAATTAATATCTACCGGCACAATTAACAAAACACAGTGTTTCCATATTATACAAACATGGAACCCTGACCAAAAAACGGTTGTAGTTGCATATATCGCTCGCTTATCGTCCCCATGTTGTTTATTTTATTATCGAAGTTAGAGTTGCAATTATTCATGAAACTAAAAAATAAGCTGTGTTTATTATTATTTGTATTTGTATAATAATAATATAGAAATGTACCAAACAATCATAATTGGCAAAATGTGCATATATTAAGAATAAAAAACTGAATTTGTTGTACATATGTATCTGTCACAAATTGTCTCGTGACAGGCATGATCAAATTCAGCACTAGCTCATCCCTAATTTGATTGCAAAGGAATGTTTTAAGGGGTCCATAACATAAACAACTTTCGATATAGAGAATTTTATTGTTTAAAAACGATGTCGATTTATTTGCATTGCTTAACAACTAATGGCGGCTTACCTATATTTACACGCAAAAAGGGTGAATGCGACAACGTAAGCATAACCAATTACATGTGTACATATGCATAAGCCACATTTTGTTATGACGAATCGTTGCTTTCGTTGTAGTTGCCCTTTTCGACTGTGGCTTCTCTGAATGGCTTTCACATGTTCTTCAAGTCACTCGGCATACAATTACAAACCACGCACACAGATGAATGGACGTACATTTGGCGTGACTTTCACAATGCGATCACGCTGATTGTGTGTGGCCGTGGCATGGGTGAGCTTCAGCTTCAGGCTCTAGCGGAGCTCGCATTCGGAGGGATTGCACTTTTTATTAGTCGCGATGAGTTAGCCCATCCCTCACTTATGGAACGCCTAAAGAAAGATGCCAAGAAGTATGTTCCTATTGTTGATGCTGCCTTGGAAGCGTCTAGTGCTGGCACAACCCTCCTGGGCTATACGGACTGTCTGTTGGCAACGGAAAATGCTCATCTCTTGAATCGTTTGAATGAGTTCAGCTCCAATTGTGGTTCGCTGTTTTGCTGTCTCGTTGTGGGCCAGCGCATCGCTGTAGCCACTGAAGGCTGGTGGGACTTGGACACCCTTGATAGGGAACTGTTGCTCTTTCTGCTTAACTCTTCAAGCGCATTACAGCTCGATGTGCCCGTCTATCTGCCCAACAAGAGTCCAAATATTGCCTTTCGTTTTGTCAGTGTCCCAGTTTCGGCGAACAGTGCGTTGTGTGTTCTTTGCGGAGCTGAATCTGCGTTCCGGGAACTGCATCAAAATGCGATGAATGCATATCGCAATGATGCCAATCTCCTGGCTAATGTCGAAAGATGTGTTCCACGCAGCCTTCCCGAACAGCTGGATATCGATGCCCATATATTGGCCATTATCCTGATTAATACGGAAACGCGTAAATGTGTCTTCACACGAAATCTGCATCAATCGTCGAGTGCTAAGCGAATTGTCGTGGGTGATTTGCAGCGTCTGGACATGCTTAAGAAGTTCTTTGATCACACTTTGGAGAACATCCACGAATTAAAGATAGCCAAAAGCGAAAGCAACGCTCTAGACGCATCAAATGAAACGGTTATGTTGGATCAGTACAGTTGCTCCGATTATCACAAGTGTTACGCCCAGGCAGATGATCAAAATAATGTAATCTTTCTGCTTTTTGTTGCGGCAGTACCCACACATACTATGAGGTAAGTGGAGTAACTCCGCTTTCTCTTTGACATGAAACAATAAATGTTTCTTTTCTTCTATTTCTTAGATTTCTTGCGAAACAAGTCTATGCTAGTCTATTGCAAGACAAAAGCGTTTGCTGGTGAACGAGCATAGGTATGACTGCACAATACAATTTCGTGGCTAGAACAAAATAATTGTGAAAATATTTGTTCGTGAATTCTAAATATGAAAGTCTGACGAGGCATGTAATCCCTTAGAAAAAACAGATTTTATTGAACAGTATAATACGAGCTTATAAGACTGATCCTAATTGCCTTAGCTCTATTAAAATTCCAATGTCTTATAATTTAAGCTGGTTTATTGACCGATTATTTATACATACAAATTTTATTTTAGTAATACTGGTGTTAGCCTAAATATGAATATATAGACAATTTCGTAAAATTTGTGTAAGTGCTCATAATATAAGTAATTTATTGGGTGTCTTCTAACTGTAGAGAATTACTTTTAAGATTTATTTATAATTGAACTGGTGCTGGAACAAAAATATACTTTTTAATAAAATGTTCATAGAGTTTTAAAGTTTAAGCTCTCAAACTTGGTTAAGTAAACTATAAAGAAAAAGTAAGTATAAGCAGTCTACGCTATTGATCCTCTACGTTGTCCTTAACTATTAACCTGAATATTACAGTATTAGCAGTAGAGTTACTAACCATACAAGTATGGTTCGTGGTAAGACCTCTGAAATAAAATCTTCATACAATAGCACTCTCCTACATATATAAAGTACAATTTCACACGCATATATAAAGTTTTGTGCAGGTTACTAAGTTCGTTCAGTCGAGTCTTAAGACCCCTTAAGGCTATTATTTGTGAGGGTTTACTGTACTTGTTCATACATACTTGTGAAATGGATTTAAATTGTTTTGGTCTGTCGCATCTTAAATCACCCGTCATCCATATTCATTGTATTCACACTCCCAGTCCCGTTCCCATAAGGAAAATGTTTGATTTGTAAACAGTTTTCAACCTGTATTTGTGTTGAGCCCGACGATGTCAAATCTAATAAAAATAATTACAAATTATAAATTCAAATATGCCATCAACAATTTCAATGCTAATTTGCACATTTCCAGCATAGTCACGACTCTGGGCAATGCTCGCAGCTCAGACCATATACGAATACCATTTGCCTCTTACTTACAAAGCCGAGCCATCCAAATGGGAATAACAAAGTCGTGAAAGCAATTTATCAAACACTTGCCCTGGGGAAATCGCTGCAAGGCCTTGGTAAACAGATTTAAAAAAAGAGTTTTGGGACCCAATTTGACCTCGTTTTAAGAATCATTAGCAGGTGTCTTTAAAGTCGTTAGCCAAAGAATCAACCAAGGAGTTAGGCCGTCCTCTAATAATTACAGCACATTCCATTTATATTGAACCTAAACTGTCCGAAACACAGTAAGTGCCCCATTAAAATGTTCAACGCGTTCGGCTTATAAAACTAATAAATAAATAAAGCCAAATCAAATGTCAATTGTATTTTTTAGCAATCAGTGCGCATTCGGCGCGCTGTGTGTGCTGTTCGATGTCGGAACACTGAAAACGTAAAAAAAAAAACAAAAAAAAAAATTCAACAAAATTCAATGTCAATTTTTTGTGGAAACATAGGACAATAAATTCAAAGAGATACATCTATAAGAACTGCAATCAAGATGCTGTTTCTCCGCTCTACTGAGGAGCACACAGACGAGCAGCTATTCAAAATCAAACAATTGCGTCAACTCGTAGAGAGTAAGAGATGATTTTCTACTCGATGATCATCAATAACATCCGTGATATTTAATGTCTGTTCACTATGTTCACAGAGTCTGACGAGTTGGAGGTCGGCACCGATGATATATTTTTGACTAAATTTCTGTATTACACCAACTGGGATACGTTTAAGGCATATCAAGCTATACATGCCTATTATGATTTTAAATTGAGGCATCCCACCTGGGTGGCCCAGCATCCCGTACAGTATTATGCGAAAATATTCTTTGCTACGCAATGTCGTTTTGTCATGCCCCATACGGATAAGAATGGACGTGTGCTGGTCATCTTTAAGACAGTGGATGCATTTCAAGAATTTCCCGATTATTTGCAGCATTTGGTCGAAATGGATGATCTCATCTTTGAGTCAATGTTAATGTTGCCGAGAGTTCAGAGAAACGGCATAACGGTGATTTGTGATCTTCAGGGGTTTGTATTGAAGGGAGAGACAGACCAGAATGAATTTCTGAATAACTCTAATTACCTTGACTTTTTCTGCAGTACAACTAGAAACTTTCTACGTCAGTTCTCGCCCATGTTTATGAAAATTGTGAATGAGAAGAATACAGTTCTGCCCTTTTCCCAGCGAATTGTGCATATCATACAACGAGGATTTCTCATGCACGTCACTTCGTCGCTATTTCTTCCCTTTATGAATAAGGATTTTAAAGATCGGGTAAGTGTCAAATTAAACCGACATTTTATCGTAATCCTATCGAATTTTATGCCAGATATTCACTCACGATGGTCGACACTTAAACAAACTGCGCGAGATGGTTGGAGTTGAGTATTTGCCGGCAGAATACGGTGGCCCAGCAACTAATGTGCTCGATACAAATCTGATTTTTAATCATTTAAGTCAAAGTGCGGATTACTTGGAACAGTTACAGCAATATAAAAAGCGTTGAAATAGAGAATAGACATGATTCAAGATACGATAAATAGAATTAATGGATATTAAAGTTTTGAAAACTTCCAGACTAACCCAATAGAAAATAAATAATAAAGGTACCACACAAAATCATTTAAAACAGCAGATTACTCGCTTTACTATAGAATAGATGTTAAATGTACAGTAATCATTTTGTTTTCGACTCGAAATTTGTTTACTTCATTATTTCAATTAAACTAATTGTGTAAGTGTTCGAAAAAATATTGAATGGCTTAAAAATGGCAAAAAAAAAAGTTCAAAAAAACAAAAACAAAAAAAAAACGGCAGATAACTGCAACGTCTCTTATTTAATATCGATTATTCAATAATCATGAGTGAATATATGGCGCCAATTTGATTCTTCTTCTTTTCTGCTCATTTGTTGCTCTTAGTAATAAGTCGATAGTTACATTTGCTCTCGATAACTTGCGGTGTATTGTGAAATTACGCCGCTTCCCTAGATAAAGTTTAACTTTATCAAAATCTGCTAAATGGCATCTAATAAGGTAATTGGGAAAATGCAGAGATAATTAGGCAAGCAGAGTTTTATACATATTTATAACTTCTGCAGGAGTGTCTAATTATTGTGCTAGACGTACGAAACTGCGCCGCCGAGGAATTCAAATTAAAGTCTGTCAAATGCGTATCTGAAATCATAAAGGACAAAGTAAGACTATTAAAAGTATATATATTGATTCCAGATAGACATTAATAAAATTTCCTTCTACCAGATTGTCAGCGACAAGAAGGACTATGTGTCCTTTGTGTTAGTGGGTTGTGAGGAGAGCAATAATGAGTTATATGAGGCTAATAATCGAGTGTGTCAGAACGTGCTTCAATATGAAAATACCCAGCTCTGCACATGGCAGCTTTTGCTTCGCTTCTTCAAGTTTGTCAATGCGACAGCCTGCGATGAAGGCGAATGGCTTGATGGTCTCGACGTAGCCATTGCTATGCTACATTCGGCCCAGCCGTAAGTTTAAAAGGATAACTATAAACATATGAATAAATATTGAATTTATTGAATTGATTTATTTGTAGCTTGAAGTGTGCGAGGCAGCGAATTTTGCTTCTCTACGACTTTAACTTCATGACACAGAGATACGATGACTATGACAAAATCTGTAACAAAATCCTTCATGAAAACATTGAGTTAATCGTTGGGTAAGCTACAGTTTTATGGAATAGGTGAATACTGTGTACTAATCTCGCTTTCGACTGTTACTCAGCTCCCACAATATTGCTTACATAGACAATGCCGAGACCAACCAGCCTCAGGCCATATTTCAGTTCACGCGAAAGTCCAATATCCATGAGCTGGAGAATCAGAAACATGCTCTGCAGCTGGTGAGCAACTGCAATGCCGTATTGTGCAGCTTCAAGGAAACCTTGGCCTCGGTCTTCAAGGTGTCCAATAGGCGGCCCTGGGTTTGGAATGCCAAGCTCCACATTGGCAGCCAGATTTCGATTAGCTTACAGGGCATTATAGCCATGAAAAACGAAAGCCACATCAAATTGAAGAAGGTGTGGGGCGAGCATGATGAGTTGGTGGAGCGAGAGGAGCGTTTTTTCATTAAGGGCACAGAGGTTACGCCCTTACCTGAGGACCTGATTGATGGCTACATGCTTGGCGGCACTCCAGTGCCATATGATGAGACGCTGGTTGAGTTGCCGCCCGCCCATGCGCCAGGTCTGCACTTTGTGGGCTTTGTGAAGCACAGCAGTATACCCGATGCTTACTTCTGTGGCGACTCCCTGTACATGCTTGTGCATCAGAAGGGCAATACATCATCTGCCCAGAAGCTGGATGCCTTGGTGAGGGCATTGATTGCCCAAAAGTGTGTTATACTTTGCTGGAAGATTTTCAGTGTCAAGTTTAATACGCCACGGATTGTGGTGCTTATTCCGCAAGAGTCCAAAGACGATAGTCCGGCCACCTTATATATGCAAGAGTTATCCTATCATGCTCAGCACCAGTTCTGGGATTTTCCCTCGCTACGTACCGAAAAAACTGAGTGTAACAAAGATCAGCTAAAAGCTGTTGATAACCTCATTGATAGTATGGATTTGGAGTGTACACTGAAGGATACCCAGCAGCCTAGGCAGCGACGAAAGAATGATCTGCTGCCATTTGATGGGCTGCCCAGCATTTTTGAGCAGAATGTGATGGATGTATTGGAATACAAGGTTATCTCCAAAAAGAAAGACGAGGAACTATCCGACGAAATGCTAAAACAAAGAAACTTCGTCGATGTCTTTTGGCGTGTGCCTGAACCAATTGAGGAAAAGTCCAAACAGGCCGCTGCAGCACTCAAGAAACTGTTTCCGTTGGAGCACAGTTATGCTTGGCTAGAGAAACTTAAGGCCAAGGAGCAGGAACATAATCCAGCGCCAGCCATCAAGCAAGAGAGCGAAGATACCATCACTATTGATAGCGTGGGTCTGATGACACCGGTTCAGGATTACAAACAACTCTTACAAAAGGTGCGGTCCGAGTTGAATACTACCAAACGGGACGCTCAGTTCCAATCGTTAGCTGCTCAAATGCGAGTGGTTATTAATACGTTGCTGGACCGCAACAAATTGGACCTCAATCAGTTGAATGAAGTGATCAAACTGTACCGAGACAGTTGCTTTGAATTCAACAGCTTTGCGGAGTACTACCAATTTGCAAACCAGCTAAAAACCAAAGCATCTGAGAGGAATCTGCAAGAGTTTTGGCATTCCATTGTCGTGGAGAAGCAGCTGGGCCCTCTCGTTTTGGGTGAGCCAACACTGGAGGATGAGCTGCGTCTGAAAGCGTTTTATACAAAACCAGAGTTTGAGGTTGATGATGCTGAATTTCAGAGTGATATATAACACGTACAATAATACATTTAAACACTTATTCCATTAAAAATAAATATTTAACTATTGAAGATTGAACAAGTTGTCTTTGCCCAAATTTACACTTCAATCACTGAATATATTTCGTTTTTCATGAATTTTAATATACATTTACAATTCCACGAAACGAGTGTGGGGCAAGGGAATAAATAACCAATTGAACAATTGCATTTGATAAATTTTTTTTTTTTTTTTTTTCGTTGATGAATTACATTTATATGTATATTAATATATTAATTTAAAATGTAAAATTATTTAGCCAAAGAGGAGCATAAAAATTAAAACTTAATAAGGAAAACGACTTAAGGAACGAACAATTTCAAATCTGCCAATCTTAATAGATGTACACTTAATAGTTTAAGAATGGGAAGTGGATGTTAAATAAGCAATGCCATTTATATACATTGCATGTAGCTATATGCATATGTGTGTGTATGTATGTGATAAACATTAAATATATTAATTTGTTAACACAATTTGTGTAGAGGTTCCAAGCAAGTGCACGCAAAGAATTATGTTTACATATGTCTGGTGACGGAGCCAAGAGCCACTTCTTTGCACTGTGCGTTTTAGTCAATGTTCAGTGAGGACATTAGCTCCTCCACGCTGTTGGATGAAGACGGAAACAAAGTTTAGTAAAATATATATGATCAATTGTGTAGAATGTGGCATACATACGTAATATCTAGATCCTGGAAGGCAACTCCAAGCCAGGCAACAACGAGGCAATAGTGCTGGAATAGTTGTAGCAGCAGCTCGCCCTCATCCAGCATTTCGAGGCGCTCAATGCGTTGGCGTTCCGATGACGAGATGCTATCGTACACCTGTACCATGTCCCAAGCGCGTGCTCCGCTCCAACCACAATCCTTAAACCGATTGGTTTGCGTCTCCAGGGACAGACAGGATTCAACGCCCGCCAAACTACAACCTCGACTGCGCAGATTATTAAGCATAACATCGCCGAATCGATCATTCATGTTCACCTTAATGGAGATTCCATTGTTAGTATGAACGTAACCAAGATCAAGTTTATATTCACCTGTTCATAGTTAACGAAGACGGCTGCTTGGAACTTCTGCGCTATCCATTTGAGCAGATTTCGACAGTTTTGAGCCTCGATATAGACCAGCACACATTCCGCTAGAAATATGGTGGGCAGCGTAAAGTCCACTTCGGCCTGCTGCAGCTTATTGTCCACCTCGTCCAGATTGCGCAGATCAACGCCCATCAAATGATAGTTGGGACCATGCAAATCTGTCGGACTGAGACGCACCTCTCCATCCTCGTCGTGGATTTTGGCTAGCAGCGCCTTATTGCGTTTGATTGTATAGCATTTGCGCGCGGTCACTGTGGGAAAATCTAGCTCAATGAAATTCTTCACCTGGTGGGGTGTGTCCCGCAACCGAAAGTAGAGGGTATCAAAGCCACAGCCAAGGTTGATGATTTGGCAATTTCCAGACGTTTTCTGCAATAGTCATGGTCAGTTTAGTCGAAGGGCAAGGTTATATGCCTATATATGTAGCTGGGGCGAGATGCATAACCACAACACATGCGCATCAGCATCATTTTTGCCAATGCAACAGGATGGAAATAGCATTGAAAATTTCAATGCCACAGTTCAAGCAAACCCTCGACCTTAACTCCTGCCTAGCTCAGAGAACTGGGTGGGGCAAGCAAGAGCCAAAGGCAATACAAATGTTGTGAGCGATAAAAAGTTTCTCAATCTCTTGTTTCTTTTCAAATAAAATCAATTGAGCCTTGCTCAAAAGAAATATTTATCGATAATTATTAAGAAAAGTTCGAGCTACAAGTATTCCGAGATTACTTAGATCATCTACAATCGAACTACTTTAAAATAGAATCTTATCGATAACACATAACACATGATCAGTAAGAACAGATGCTATAATTTTTCAAATTCGCTTATTGCTGAAGCTCTTTCAGCAAGTAAAAAATACGCAAACTTCTCGAATTTCAATTAATAATAATTGATACTCAATTTGTTTGCCTAACTACACTAGGATGCAGCGAATATTCATATCGCGCATGTCCCATAAAATTTGTTTTGTTGTGTGCAGCAGCCTTCAGCTGTAAATGCAGTAAATACGACTAACCTTCAGAAATTTCTCCACGCACATCTCAACGCCCTTGACGCGTGCAAAATAGCCGCGATTTATCTCCGGTGCTTTTCGCTCCTGGTTGCGCACAAAGAACCCAATATAGTCATCTTTCCAGTAGCCAAGGCGCACAGCACCGCGTTTACAATCGCTGGCATCGTCATTGGTGGCGATGACGGCCTCATCGCATGGATGAAACTTGTGTGTGCTATTGTTATGTGCGACTCCTCCGCCTGCTGACGGAGGCTCCATGGCGAGGCTGTTTTGATATTGGGCTACTATAACCTTTTGATGCGAAATGCCTACGAGGAAGACGGCAACCGGGTTTCCTTTGTTCTACTACTTTGTCACTTTAAAATCGTTTTTATATTTGATTATTTTGCTTCTTCCGTAACTTTGATTTTCTCGACCAAGTTGTGTGAATGCAAATGAGTATAAAAAACAGCCCGTAAACAGCTGCAAGCATCGATGACATCCGCAAGTGTTGGTAAGCTTCGGAAGTGTCGCTTTTTTTATCGATTTCAGATAAATGTTTCATCGATAAGTTGAAAGCCCGCCAACATTAAATTTAAAGTATTATCAGTTGTGTATTTGAGACAATTAGTTATTGCAAGTTATTACAACTGCACTCATTCAAATACTTAATGCTTATTAGGTCAACAGTGACACTTAATTTTAAAAAATAGACAACAAGCAAAGGAGAATTCAGTCACAGTCATTTATAAGTAACGCGTGCCACAATCAAGTCAAAGTTAACTCCATCATCCATGTAAGTGCTCTAATTGTTTCCCGCATCTTTGACATCGGAAGCGACGGCTGTTATAATTAAAATTGTCAGCTACGCCCAAGCCACTGAGTCTTTAACTCAATAAGTCGGGGTCAAAAAGTAAACTGGCTTTAATTGTTGTTTCGCTTTTGCATTTGCAATGACGGTGAATGAATCACAACCCCCTGGCGAAATCGAATTAGTCTTCTAACGATAGAATGGCAAATTATGCAAAGTGCGACTTTTTGTCATGCAAAAACATCTCACTGGATTGACAATTGCATCTAACTAACTATTTGCTGCCCAACGACGCGTCGTCGCAATGTTCAAAGTTTTCAAAGTTTTGGTTGATGGCCCTTAATTAGGCAGACGTTATTAATTGAAGACTTTTTGAACTCCGTCAATGGGCAGTATGTTGGGCTAAGGGGTTGAACACCATGTCAAGGGCGTGAACTGTGTATTTTCAAAATTCTCTATATTTCGTAGTAAAGAAAAAGAAAAGAATTGTTTACAATTATTTACTTTTCAGATATTTTGAATTCGAAAGCTTTTATTTAATTAGTAGAAAAAGTATTTCGAAATATGATTTCAAAATTGTAAAGGCTCTTAAGGAATAATTATGATAATTAAAAGATTATTATTGCTGAAGTATATAACAATTTTTTTTTTAATTTATTTTTCATTTTAGTAATATTTAATATTTGTTCATTTTAGATTTCATTTTACGGATTATATAAGAAACATATGATAAATAATTTAAGTAGAAAAACTTCAAAACTTAAATAATAATATTAATAACTTAAAATTAAGATAACAAAATTAATATTAAACTATAATATTTATTCTCTTATTTGGTCGCATATTAATTTGTTTTTAATCAATCGAACAGATCAATGCGAGCTCCCTCTGCCTTCGCTTTTCGAATCTCCTGTGCATTGTCACTCTGCCGCTCTCTGCTAGTGGCTACGCTCTCGCCCGCTCTCCCGCGCTCTCTCTCGTACTCATTGCGCTGCTTGCACCCACACTCGCTCGGGTTAGCTGCGACTGCTGGAGCCACTTGCCGCTTCAGTTTGATTGTAACGTTCGTGAGCGACGGTTGTGCGAGCTGAAAGCTGCGCGCGCGTCTTCTACGAAAATTCACTCAGGTTTGTGAGTCAAAGCAATAACTGTTGGTAACAAAAGCGTAGCTGCTCACGTAAGCCAGTTTACATGTGTGTGTGTGTGTATTTATCAGACTGTGTGAGTGTTAACAAAGCCAAAAGCCATTCTGTGTATTGCGTGTGCGTCCAATTGCATTTGTATTGGTGTAACCATAACGCTGCTGTTGCTGCTGCKGCGTTTTGACGTTTGACTGGCTCTGGCTGTGCCTCTCTACCTGTGGCCTGGCTTAAAACTGAAAACGGTCATTTCATTACGTTTACGTTTTTCTTTGCATTTTTCGTTAGCCGTGTTTGTTGTTTTTTTCCGGGCGTTGGCACGTACACACAAAGAAAGTTAATAATTTTTGTGGCTCGTCGCTTAGAATTAATCATTTACAAATGGTTTGATCAAATTGTGTTGAGGCACACAGTGAAGGGCTAAGATTAGATAGTGCAAAAAGGCCAAAACCGAACCAACAATACATATTCATATATAACTGGTTGCGCCGTTGGCGTCGACTCAGGCAGCGACGTCATCATTTCGAGCATAACTGTAAAACAAGTGAGATTAAAGAAGCGGCATCAACAAGAAAACAACAACAAGAGCACTACTACAGCAGCGCAGTGGGCCAACTCTACACACACACACATACACAGGCACACACACACATACACCGTCAGATACTCGCACACAGACAAACGACACCTGCAAACGCTTCACTTTCAACATTATCGTTGCGTTTTATTGTTTCTGTTTGCTTTGTGATTGCGAAAATAAAAACTAACCAAGTGCCTGAGCGCACTAAATGTGATTCACCAACAGCAACAACAATAACAACATATACACAATAACGTGTAATTTGATATAAAATTCCCGCAAGCGAATTACAAATTTTTTTACCGTTGGCAAACAGTTTGCAAGAGGGCTCGGACAGGCGACAGCCGTTATTTTGTGCAGGCGTTTGCATTTCCGCACTTTTCAACAAGAATAAGCAAAAGAATACTAGAAGAAAAGGAGAAGCAGCAGCAGCAGCAGCAGAAGAGGACTTCAACACGTCGAGGTTAGCAGCGTAACCTGAGTCGGTGGCGCTGGCAGGTTAATGCACTTTTATATTTTGCATGCTACAACAACAGCAACAGCAACTGCCACAACTCGTGCGCATGTGTGTGTTTAAGTGTTCGTGAGTCCTTGTGCTAGTTAATGTTGACGCTGACGACGAAGCCCAAGTCGACGTCGACGACGCGTCGCTGCTGTTGCAATCTAATGCCAAAAGTGCAGCTCAAATTTGTTTACATATTTCTCATTGTTGTTGTTTGTAGAGTTGTGCTGGTGTTTGGCACGTGAAACTGCAATCGGAATACAGGTGTGCGCAATGATGGTAAATTTGAGCTGTATCAAGTTTAGTGCTAACCGGAAATAACAATTAGTAATCAGTGCGAGTGAGTGTACGTACGTAAACATTTTGTTGCGTTTTGAATGAAATTCTGATGCTATTATGAATGGGCTCAAAATTATTTTTATAATTTATATTCGAACTAGAGCCGATTAGGAACACCATAGATCGATTGGTAATGTGAAATTTCGTTCTAATTAAATTTCGATTATTTAGCGAGCTTGAATTTAATGTCTGCGACTTAGCAAATTGGGAATATATCTGAATTAATGTTTATAAAAATGTTCATTGTAACAGGCTGTTTGAATTATATATCTATATAAAAAATTATTATAAACTGTTATAAAATTAATAGTAATTTATTAGATATATGTATATCAGAATCCCTCATGTTTCCACGTTGTAATAAAATGTCCTTCAATTTTGTTATATAGAGATATGCTGTTAGGAAGATCTCCATTATGGTCTATTAATATTACTAATTATAGATGGCTTTTTCGATTAAATCTAATTTTTAAATCCACAAATTTTCTATTTAGCTATAAATATTTCATTAGTGGAGACAAATTAATTAGCTTTTATAATATTTTCACACAATGGTCAATAAATGTATATTTTTTAACGATTCGTTGAGGTGTTAAAAACTTATAATATATCGGAGACATATACCGATATTTTGCGCTTGGGGAGATATAAGTAATTCTCCTTTCTATTTCCTAAAATGTAATGCACCACAAATGTAAAGTTTTAGGTTAGAAAAGTTGTAACTAGGGTAGTATTTTGTTACTACTTTGAAATTATCGCGACCACAATCTTAAGAAAAGTAACGTTTTTTCTTACTTACAACTTTAAATTAAATTTCTGTGGACTCATTATATATATCATATTATTCTACGCTTGCGATCTCCACACAACTTATTCTACAGTTTTACCTATTTCACATATACGACTCAAATTCTGAACTTGTTCTTAACCTGTCAACTTTAACCCATTTGGGGCAATGTCATGACCTGTTTCCACCACACAATTAACCAATTAGCTGCGAAGACATTCAACGCTCCCACTAAACAATGGAGTGTAGGTAATCGGCATTGCAATCGTAATGCCTCCATTGAAGCAAAAGTGCCTAGAGTTGACTCCAATTTGGAATCAAAGACAAAGTCACAAACGGCGCATTTTATGCTGTAACTTATTTTTAGCGCATATTTCTCTTGGCAAACGGGTTTCTCGGTCGCTCGGTCTCGCGGTCTCATGGCCTCTCTTACTTCTAGCGAACGCCTCTAACGCTCAACTGAACCACATAACACCGTCAAACATATATGTTTATACATAATGTATATATGTATATATAACGCAGTTAACGTAATTTAAAAACCAGTTTGGTCACTCTTACTCAGCACCGAGATTTATTTATTATTGTATGCTTAAACAAAAAGAGTGTTAATTGAAGATTTTTCTTTGAATTCCTTTATATCATTTTTCTCTTTTATCTGCAGAGATAAACAGGGTTAAATTTTTGTTATAAAAGCATTCTCAAAAATATTTTAAAATGCATTGAATTAAATTTGTTATCCAACAATAATTATTTGTATACATATATCTAAATATTTCGTAATATTTGTTTATTTTTTCTAACGCATTTCTTCTTTCTTTTTTGTCTTTCTCTTGCAGTTTGAAATGGCACAGAAATTTAAATACCGTGACAAATTGAAATGTCTATCGATCATCGGTCTATCGATCATTCTTCTCCAATCGCTGCCGCAGTCTATTGACGCTCAAACTCGAGATCCGCGATTTTATTCGCGTGTGGGCGTGGACTATCAGTGGCCGAATCCCGGCGATCCGGATTACAGGTGAGCCAAAGCACATTCTATTCCCAAATATGGGCATATTAAGAATTCGATATTTTCAGAACATACACATTCAACGATCGTCGCTATGGACACTATCAGCCAAATGGATATGGAGCCAATTATCCCGGCAGAAACCCACCTGGCCAATATCCTCAGGGCATGCCCAATGAGGACCGTTTTCGTTTTGATCCGGTGAGTAGTGAAAGGGGTATATTCATTTTCTAATTTCCTTTATTTGTCATATAGCTGGCCTTTTACATGGAGATCATTAGAGAAACTAAGCGATATAGATCTTGATACAATTTTCATTTTGCATTCTAGTGCTCAAATCTCATAAGCCAAGTCTCATCATGCCAAAGTAAATCATTCCATGATTAGAGACTATAATTTCTAGACTCTTCATGTAATTCGTATTTTAAATATTGAATTTAATTTTTTGCTATTCATTAAGAATTTCAGTTTTATAGAGTTTACTATTATGGAGTCGTACCAAGACTAGAGATTAGTATTTTGCATTGAGATCAATTCTAACTACATGGATATATTTTAAGACTCTCCTAATGTTTTTATCGGTGGCTATTCGTGATTCGACTTGTTCGCACCTATTAATCAATTGACTCCGAGTCCGATCAATTGAATTTGCGACACAAGAGTTGACCCCAAAACGACGGACTGAGAAACGATTAAAGAACGCCAGAGCCAGCTGCGAACAATGGAAAGCCTTTGAGCAGAAGCTTTGAGTGATCCACAGACATCTGAGCAATATCGAGGCAATAATCTTAATTAAGTTTTCATGCGTTCTGCGACTTAATCAATTACACATGTTACCCATCCGCCCGCAACTGCAAACTGTGAACTGTATCAGACAACAACAACAACAAGTCTAATAAAAACCTATTAAAACTCTATTTGCAGAACGATCCCAATGCTCGAACACAGTTCCCGGGCGTCTTGGCCGGCTGGCGGGAGGATTTGCAGGGAAAGCAGCGCCGTGATTCATTGACTCTGGAACGGGATGTCTTTGTCACGACGAACTATGGCCAGGTGCAAGGCTTTAAGGTCTACATGTATGACAATCCCGATCCCAAGTCGTTCTATAGGCCATATCATTCCACTGTGGACCGCGTGATGGGCGAATGCTCCGTGTTCTTGGGCATTCCCTACGCCCTGCCGCCCACATTCGAGGGGCGCTTTAAGCCGCCACGCCTACATCGTGGCTGGCAGCTACTCCAAGCGGTAGACTTTGGACCCGCTTGCCCCCAGCCGGTGCGCTTTACAGGTGCCACCAAAGGTGTCATGGACATGGATGAGGACTGTCTATATCTGAATGTATATTCGCCTAAGGTAAGTCTATATCTATATCTATATCTATATCTAAATCTAAATCTATATCTATATCTATATCTATATCTATATCTATATCTATATCTATATCTATATCTATATCTATATCTATATCTATATCTCTTACAGACTGGCGCTGGCGTTGCCCAGAAGTATCCGGTCATGGTCTACATACACGGCGGAGAGTTCGTGCGCGGCGCTTCCAACCTGTTCCAGGGTCACATGCTGGCCTCCTTCTACGATGTGGTTGTGGTTACGCTGAATTATCGGCTGGGCGCACTGGGTTTCCTATCCACAGCAGATGAGAACTCGCCCGGGAACTATGGCATCTTGGACCAGGCAATGGCCCTCAAATGGGTGTACGACAACATTGAGTTCTTCAATGGGGATCGCGACTCAATCACATTGTTTGGACCCGGAGCTGGAGCTGCCTCCGCTGGACTGTTGATGGTGGCACCACAGACTCGCAACATAGTGAAGCGCGTCATCGCCCAGTCGGGGTCTGCGCTGGCTGATTGGGCGCTCATCCAGGACAAGTACAGGGCACAGAATACGAGTCGTGTGCTGGGCCAAGTGCTGGGCTGCTCTATAGACTCGTCCTGGAAGCTGGTCAACTGCCTGCGCACTGGGCGCAGCTTCTACGAGCTGGGCAACGCGGAGTTCTTGCCTCAAGTCGGCAGCTTCCCCTGGGGCCCGGTGCTGGATCACAACTTCACGCTGCCCGGCGACGATTGGTACGAGGGCTGGCGGGAGAAGGATTGGCGGTTTCTCACCCAGACACCCGAGACTCTGATTCGCACGGGACGCTTCAATCGCAACATTCAGTACATGACGGGGGTGACCACACAGGAAGCGGCCTTCTTTGTGGCCCAGAATGAATCCCTGGCGCCCTACTATGAGATAGACAGTCGCTTCTTTGAGCAGAAGGTGCGGGAGCATGTCTTCCGCTACAATTACACCCTCAATCCGAATGGGGTATACGAGGCCATCAAGTACATGTACACCTACTGGCCCGATCCTAACAACAACACCATCATTCGCGATCAATACATCAATATGCTGAGCGATCTCTATTATCGTGCGCCCGTCGATAAAATGGTGAAGCTGCTCTTAGAGCAGAAGATTCCCGTCTATATGTATGTGCTGAACACCACTGTGGAGGCCTTCAACTTGCCCCAATGGCGCAAGTATCCGCACGACATCGAGCACTACTTCCTGACCGGCGCCCCCTTCTTGGACACCGAGTTCTTCCCCAAGAAGGAACATCTGCAGCGCAACATGTGGACTGATAACGATCGCAATATGAGTCACTTCTTCATGCAGACCTATTCGAACTTTGCCAGATATGGGTAAGTGATTAGAGAGCTCTAATCCATTGAAACTGGGACTAGTCGGAATTAGAGTTAGTAGAGAAACTATCGCTTAGTACAAATATCGTTAACTCTCTCCTTTCACATTTACCCACAGCAATCCGACGCCTCAGCAAGTGCTCGGAATGCACTTTCAGCGGGCCTATCAGGGGGAGATTCGCTATCTGAACATCAATACCACCTACAACTCTTCGATCCTGCTGAACTATCGGCAAACGGAGTGCGCCTTCTGGACGCAGTATTTGCCAACAGTGATTGGCGTGCTGGTGCCCACATATCCGCCCACGACGGAATACTGGTGGGAGCCCAAGGAACCATTGCAGATCGCCTTCTGGAGCATGTCGGTTGCGTGCTTCTTCCTCATCGTGCTGGTTGTCATCTGCTGCATTATGTGGCGCAACGCCAAGAGGTAAGTCGAATGGCCTAACTCAAAGGCAATAAAAATGCAATAAAATCGATTATATTAAAGACAATCGGATCGGTTCTATGACGAGGACGTCTTCATCAATGGCGAAGGCATGGAGCCAGAGCCAGATCCTCGCGGCGTGGACAATGCGCACATGGTGACCAATCACCATGCCATGCGCTCGCGCGACAACATCTACGAGTATCGAGACTCTCCATCGACCAAAACGCTGGCCAGCAAAGCCCAGACGGACACCACGTCGCTGCGCTCCCCCAGCTCGCTGGCCATGACCCAGAAGTCGGGCAGCCAAGCCTCGCTCAAGTCGGGCATTTCCCTCAAGGAGACAAACGGCAGCCTGGTAAAGTCAGAGCGCGCAGCGACGCCTCGCTCGCAGACTAATGGATCGGCAGCCAAGGCAGCGCCCATCGAGGAGAAGCGTCTGCTGCAGCCGCTCTCCAGCACGCCGGTGGCGCAGCTGCAAGCGGAGCCAATGAAGCGAACGCCGGCAGCGCCAGCCAGCGTGATCAGCGGCAGCAGTCGCAGCACCACGCCGGTGCCCTCGGCGCGCACCACAACGACGACGGCAACGCTGACGGCGCAGCCGGCGGTACAGCCACGACGCACGCAGCTGGTGGAGGGCGTGCCCCAAACATCCGTCTAAGTAACCGCTCTCTAGGCGCGCGATGCGCTTAGAGAGAATACGCAAAGCCTTCGAATGAACAAATTTGGCCACTTCGACATTGGGGGTAAGTGCCCAGACATCCTTCGAGTCGAGGCAAATTCTTAACGACAAGTTCTTCTCTCCGACAGCTCCGTCTAGCTGGATGACGCCTGTATTAAAAGTTGACATAACTAGATTATAGGTTTTGTTTAATACATAGTTTTATGTTATTTATAAATTTATTTTTACACAGATCTAAAAGATCTCGACAGCTATTTGTAACTCCAATTTTTATTTGCATTTTATATTTTATTTTAGTTTTCTCTTTTATTTTTTTTTTATATTTTTTAAGTTGTATAACCCAACGAATACGAATCCATATCAATGACATTCCATAGCATAGTCTTGGCCTATAGCTAGCTAGAGAGGCGAGACCATCATCAAGTGTACATAAAAACAATGTAAAGTTTAATCGAAAACAACAATTAGCATAAGTTCTTAATGATAAGCTTTGCATTTGCCTGCTAGGAATCAATTAAAAATGTTAGAGATCTGCAAAAAGAAACAATTTATGATCCAATCTTCTTTCAGTATATATAGAATGTAATAAAAACAAAAACGGAAAAATTTATTTGCTAAGACTTTCCATATATGTATGTTCGTATAGTACCCATATAACATTTTTACTTGTAATCCATCCATATACAGATACCATATCATTCGCAGATCTAGAGCACAAGTGCCTTATCCAAATTGGATATAGTCTAGGATTAAATGTGTGTACTCATATACGATTTAAGTGCCCTAAATTGCATAGTTATGTATTTTCTATATAGATATATATGTTTTATGCGTCGCATATATAGAGCTCAATGACCATACAAAATCAGTGTAAACCGTCCAATATTTTTTATGTTTTCATGTGGAGCGTGTAAATGTTATACAAGCCTTGTTATTGTTTACATGAGCGAGAACATAAGAAAACCATAATCATTTACATACTTATGTAGTTTATTTAATTGTATGTATGTACGTATGTAGTTTGTCCAATTCATTTATTCAAATAAAAATTATTATTTCTCATTTGTGAAATGTTCGGCATAATGTGCTTTGTGTTCTACTGTCAAAATGTGTCATTCAGAGTACAACATGATATATATCATCTATATAATCATACCTATGAAATGTCTGTCATTTTTACATCTCATTCATTTGTAAAATATTTGCAAATTTTTCATTCGTAGCAAAAGTAAGAAAAACTAATCTATAGATAGAGCGAGGCAGCAAAGACAATGTCGCGCTTGAGCAGTCGAATGCCTTCGGAGAACTTGTTCTCCAGATCTGTGTTGCCAATCGTCTTGGATGCCTGGCAGAGCTGACGCAACAGCTCCTCCAGACGCCGCATGCACCGAATGATGGAGCCCTCAAAGATGTCCGTCATTTTGCAGACATTCAAGAAGCTGGAGCCGTTGCACCAGGCCAACACAACGTCCATTAGGTAGGGCTTGAACTTCTCCACATAGCTCTCCTCATCCAGATTCAGCTTGCATTCGGTGGACACCCTGGCAATGCGACGCGCCAAGCTTTGCAGGGAGCGCAACGGGCCGGACAGCTCGGTGGCGCTCTTTGGCGCCTCGCTGGACTTCTCGTCGCAGACGAAGCAGGAGAGCAGCGCCACAGCTTGCGGAGCGGTGAGGTCGTTGAAGACGCCATTGAATATCATTTCAGTGATGAGCAGCTCATCCGCGGAGCTCAGCTCGCAGGCAACGCGACCTTTGAACTCGATGACATCGCCCGGCTTACAGTAGCCCATGCGCCGGAGCACACGTTTGCGGAATTTCAACTCGTCCATTTGCAGCAAGCTGCGGGCAGCTTTCAGCTCTGCCTTGAGGCCCTTCACCTCATTCTGCAGCTTTAGCTTCTCAATGTAGCGCTTGTGAATGCGATCCAGCTCCGGCGACTTGTGCAAGGGATGCGCCTCGAGCAGCTGCTCGAACTGTGCGATTGTGTCCATGATTTTGCGGAATTCGTCATCCTTAATGTTCATGTCCTTGATGGGATGGAGCAAGGGTGGTCCGAGTGGGAATCGTTTCTTCGCCTCCTGTATGGTCTTCAACACGGCCCGGCGATTGTCAGCCGTACGCAGATCGCTGGGAAAGTAGACGCGTATCGAGCTAATTTGGGTGATGAGGGAATTGGATACGGGAACAACCTCCATGCAGCCACGCTCGTTGGGCGGACAGGGCTCGGTGTCGCCTGTTTTGGCCGACTCCTCGCTGACATGGAGCAGCACATCGATGACAATGCCCGGTTCACTCTCCAATGGGTTCCTGCGACTTAGATCTTGCTTCCTCTTAAAGTTCAATACCAGACCCCAGTCATACTCGTGCTTGCCAGCCGAGACTTTTACCAGTCGCCCTGGCTGCAGAAAGGACGCCAGATACTGTGGCTTGGTCATCCACTCGCGGTACTTGTTGCCGTAGATCTCGAGCTGGTCGCGGATGTTATGATAAGAGGCGATATTGTGCTCGTCCTTGATCTTAATTTTCTCCAGCTGCTGTGTCTTCTGCTGCACCTGATCGTATAGGCCGGGCAGTGTGGCCTGGTTTTGGAACTGATAGAAGCTGCGCTCGAGCATATACTCCGGGTTGATTTCCTCCACGCGCAGCAGATTTAACACCATGTTGTAGGTGAGATGGAAGGCCGAGTTAAGAGTGTCTGCTTGGCCCTGCACAATTTCACGCCCCACCACCGGGGAGACCTTCTCATCAATCATCAGTATAACGATGCCCTTGTCATCCAGACCACGACGACCAGCACGTCCAGCCATTTGGATATACTCGCCCGAGCTGATCCACCGAAAGTCCTTGCCGTCGAATTTGCGCGGCGCCGTAAACAGAACTGTACGCGCCGGCATGTTCAGGCCCATGGCAAAGGTCTCTGTCGCGAAGAGCGCCTTGATCAGGCCCTCGCCAAACAGAATCTCAATGGTCTCCTTGAGAATAGGGAGTAGTCCGCCGTGATGGATGCCAATGCCACGACGCAGCAATGGCAACACATTTTCCACCTGCGGCAGGCGACGATCATCCTCCGAGAGCACATCCATGGCATTCTTAAAGACCTCATCCACCAGTTTCTTCTCGTCGACCGTATTAAAGTCCAGCTTGGCCATTTGCATAGCGTACACCTCACAGTCCTTCTTGCTGAACGAGAAGATGATGACGGGCGCAAAGTGACGCTCCATAATCATCTTGACAATCTTGAAAATATTTGTTTGGCCTTCATTGTGGCCCTTGATGCCACCCTTGCGACCCTTCTGATCGCCCTTCGCTGCCTCACCTTCAAGGAAAGATTTATTTAGATAACTATAGACATTCACTAATATATCCCCATAATTTTTTCGTACCTGCGTTGGCCAGCACCGCCATAGCTGTGGTAAAGTTCTCCTCTTTGAACTGTCCCTTCTCGTCCACGATCAAGTGGATGCCGTCGCCTCCAGCTGGGAAGATGTAGTGCTGCAGCGGCGTGGGTCTGTAATCCGTGTAGACCACATGGCAGGGCTGCTTGTGCAGGTGGCAAACCCATTCGGCAAACTGTCGAGCATTCGGTATGGTGGCCGAGAGAAAGACGTAGCGAACATTGTCGGGCAATAGGATGAGTGTCTCCTCCCACACCACTCCACGTTCCTTGTCACGCATGTAATGAATCTCGTCGAAGATCACCCAGCCCACCTCGCGCATTATTTCGCTGCCGCGGTACAGCATATTCCGCAGAATTTCCGTTGTCATAATCAGACAGGAGGCGGAGGGATTGATGGTAACATCGCCCGTAACCAGACCAACGTCCTCAAACTCATCTGTGAACTCGCGAAACTTCTGATTGGAGAGCGCTTTAATGGGAGTGGTATAAATGACGCGCTGCTTGGCAGCCAACGACTTGGCAATGGCATATTCCGCCACCACAGTCTTGCCCGCCGATGTGTGGGCCGACACCAGGACGCTCTGCGAGTTGTCAATGCAGAGAATTGCCTGCTTTTGGAAGGGATCCAGCACGAACGGATATTGCTTAGCAGGCACGCCCGTGAACGGCTGCAAGGGAATATACTCCTGGTCAGGATGGGCGGCCACCTCGTGTGTGCAGGACTCGGGCGACACCAGCTGATGGGTAACAATACGAACGCGCAGGGCGTCCACTGCGCAGTCATCTAACTCTTCTGCATTGTCCTCTTTTTCATTTTTCACCTCGTTGTCTGAGGTATCATTAGCAATTTCGTCTACTTCTTTTACATCGACACGCTGCCGCTTGGTATCCTCTTCCTTTACATCATTTTCATCAGTTTGCTCCTTGTCGCTGGTATCTGCATTAGCTGCAGCAGATTCGCGTTTGATCGCCTTTCGCTGTTTGTTGTCATCTGACTCAGTTTTCTCTGTCTGCTTTCCTGTTGTCTTTTTAAAAGGTACTGGTAACGGTAACTGTATACCTTGAGACGGCTGCTCCTTAAAGCACTCAAATAACTCTTCTATATCCATTATATTTTCCTTTCTCGGCACCTTGTTTTAAGATTTATTCACACCGTATAGAAAAACATGTGTTTCGGATCACTCATTTTTGTGTTCACTTAACAGAATGTTAAAATTGCAGCGATTTAATACTCACTTGGCACTGTTATAAAAAATTTTATATTAAATTTTCTTTTTTTATTTATTTCACTCTGTGTATTGCAAATAATAAATTAAAATGACATTGATATTTAAACAGAATAATATAATATGTGACATATTATAACATTCTTGTCGGTGTGTTTTTTTTTTAAATTCATACCCGCAAAATACACATTTTAAATATTTATAATCTTACCATTCTTTTAATGAAATATACTTTTTATATTGATTATTAAAATTATTGAATACAATAAACAAGCAAATTTATAAATATTCTTAACAGCAAATTTGTCATCATTTTTCATATTAAAATAAGGAATGTCAGCATTTTTAGCTGTCATGCAATCGATAATGCTTGAAGAAAACTAATCGATTAAATAATGCTAATGGTTTAGCAACAGCGGCGGCGACATAGAGAGGAAAGACTATTGATATATCTGAAGTCTTCAGGAGTTGGTTAGTTGCAAAATGGAAAATGATGAAGTTAAACGTGGCCGTGGACGCGGACGTGGCTCTCGAGCGCGGGGTCGAGGCCGAGGACGCGGCCGGGGACGTGGTAAAAAAATTGATGACACAGGCAGCACATTAGAGACATACGAAGGTGGCGTTGGCGTTGTTGTTGCACCTGTGTCAGGTAGCGGAGCCGTTGAGGATAGTCCCAGCAGCATGGATCACACAGAAGATGCCGTGATGCACGACCTAGATAAAGAAAACGAGATGGAGGTAACAGCATCGGCCGAAGAGCAGGCAACACCCATCGCAGACAGAACGCCGCCGCCTCAGCAACAGCAGCTGCAGCAGCAGGTAGCGCCGCCCATGCTACCACAGACAAGTAAGATTTGTGTTTTACCGAGAAATGCTGGAAAATGCAACTAATTTGCGCTTTTTGCAGTTGACATGGAAGCGGATATATCCCAGTTGGAAGCGCCCACATTTACGACATTGTCGCGCGGACCACCGGAGCCCATGCTGCGCCTTAAATGGAACCACAAAGTGAACCTCATTGGTGAAAAGGTGCTTAATCCGATGATCCATTGCTGCGACCAGTGCGACAAACCCATCCTTGTCTACGGCCGCATGATTCCCTGCAAACACGTCTTTTGTCTCAAGTGTGCTCGCGCCGAGCCCATCAAGAGCTGTCCGCGCTGCAGCGACAAGGTGCTGCGCGTGGAGCAATCCGGCCTTGGCACGGTCTTCATGTGCACGCACGGTGGTAGTCGGTATGGCAGCACCGGCTGTCGACGTACGTACCTCTCGCAGCGCGATCTGCAGGCGCACATCAATCACCGGCACGTCGCACCACAACCGCCACTGACAGCATCGACGGGCGTGGAGCCAAAGCTGACGGAGATGAGCGGCCTGGAGTTGCATAAGCAGCGCAAGGCGAGTAGTTGCTATGGCTCCTAACTATGCCACATCTCTGTCTAATGCTTGCCCTTGCAGTTATCCGAACCCTCTACCGCCTCCGTCTCTTCCTCCTCTGCTGCCGCTGCTGCCCACATGCAACAGCGTTCCACAAGTCGCGCTGGCATAGGTTCGATACCTCCACCGGGATCCTCCGAACGAGCCGCTGGCCACACGCACTCAACTCTCACGCTGGCGAACCTGGCACGCATCAACAATGCGAACGCCCAGGACTGCCATCAGGGCAAGGCATCGCTACACCAGACCCTCAAGAAGGGCACGACGCATCAGTCCGAATCAGTGGCAGATGCCTCCTACTACAGCAGCGTGCTCGCCACATTTGGCAGTGCGGGCGTGGCTGCTGGCCCTTCACCGGGCTCGACTAGCTCGCCAGCTATTCCGAATTGCGCACCCAACAGTGGCAGCGCATCTGGCGGAGGAGCTGCGAGCGCAGGCAACGCCGCTCAAATAAACAGCAGCTACGACATCGGCAACGCGACAGGCAGCACCAGCAGCGGCAGCAACTGGCAGCAAGCGCAATATTACAGATAGTCATTTAATGGACAGAATCTATACTTTTGCTTATTATACATTTACTTATTGTACAAATAAACTTGTATGTGGAAAACTTTTGTTGGACTTTCAAATATGTAGATCAAAGCAAACTTAATCGATTGCTCTTTGTACATCGGATTTTTCCACAAGCTCCACAATTGCACATGGTTAAGACTATAGTTGTAAAAACTATCCAGTAGTATATTATATTTATAAATTTTATTATTTTTGCTAGAATTTTAACACTCAATAAATACTAGAAACACGGGCGCAGTTTTCAAAATATTTCGATATTAATTCGGCCTATCGTTAGCGGTGCCTTATGGTATAACGATAACTTTTTCCATCAGCTGAATAAAGAAAAAAAAAAACACCTATTTGTAAACAATTTAAATTTGGGCAAAAGGAGAACAAGACTAATTTACATAAGTACAAAGATGTAATAAATAGCTGAAAATGCCAACTTTGACACGCTGTCTCGCATAAATTAACGGTCGAATTATATTGGACAAGTCACGTAGTCATTTAAGCAAAAAGCGCAGTGAAGAGTGAAAGTTGCTTAGCTAAGAAAATATGAAAAAAATATTTTTAATTAGTGGCAAACGAAAATGTGGTAAGGATTTCATTTCAGAGAGATTGTTAAACCGGTGAGTATATTCTAAACAAGGTAAAGGACATAAAAGCTAAATATATATTTAACAGTCTGGCAGATCGGGCCCTGATCGTTCGCATCTCGGAGCCGATTAAAAAGGAATGGGCGAACAAGCTGCAACTGGATATACAGGCTATGCTCAGCGATGGCCCCTATAAGGAGCAATATAGGCGGGACATGATCGTGTGGAGCGATGAGGTGCGTCGCAGAGATTACGGCTTCTTTTGTCGTGCGGCCATGGAGCAGGCGCCCGTGGGTGAGGTGGACTATGTCATTGTCAGCGATGTACGCCGTAAGAACGATATACGCTGGTTCCGTGAGACGTACGGCCCCCAAATGGTGCAAACACTACGTTTGACGTCGTTGCCAGAGACTCGCAAAGCGAGAGGCTGGCAATTCACTGTGGGCGTGGATGACGAGCCATCCGAATGTGATTTGGATGACAGCTCCTTTGACTATGTGCTAGCGAATGATAAGGACGACCAGAGTGGGGAGCAGCTAATTGATCAAATTATGGCTATGCTACAGATTAGCTAATTAAAGTGGCCTTCTCATATATGTATAGATATATAACAAATATATTTTTGATATCAATTATCTTTTTGAACGAAGGCAGCTAGAGATGTCTTACACCTTCCACGCACGAGTTGTTGCAAATCATCGATAAATTATTTGCAATCGATGGAAATCAAATTCACCGTTAAGCTAGTTATTTGAAATATATGAATATATTTAATTTATAATATTGGTTATTGGTGGGCTGTTTAGCTGTTGATTTGTAAAGACTAAAATGTTAAGAATAAAAGGCAAGATTTAAGATAATGAAACATCAACCTTCGAGTATGCGCATGCTCGAATTCAATTGAAGATCATCGAAGCTGTGCAACTGCGGCTTGCGTAAATCCTTCTCAACCGAACGCGAACGGAGGTGCATGCGATTCTTGTTGACGCAGCTGAGGGGCGTTCGCTGGCCACGCTGCTGACTGTCGGGCGTGCTCTTGGGCGTGCTGGTCACGCCCTCTGGGGTTGCATCTACATAAATCTGCGGCTTGTTGGCGCGTGCAGGCTTCCGGGGTGCAACGCGTCGCTTGTTGCCCAGTCGAACGCGTTCCAAGTGTTTATTAGCTGGACGGGATTGGGACTGTGACTGTGACTGTGGCTGCACCTGGGCCTGTGCATTAACTGGTATCGGCTCTTCGCTGGCACTTACGAACGAGGCCATGCTGCTCCCGTTGCTTAAATTGAGCGTGAGAGTCTCAAGGATCTCCTCCAGCATTTGGGTTTCACGCGCCTCGCTCTCATCATCATCACAAAAKATAATAGGCGTACGCTCTACCCCAATAGTGGGCGAACGCGGATCCTGTATGTGTGGCTGCTCTGGTGTTCTCTGATGCAACAACATGTCACAGGGCATCGTTTCCTCCTGCTCGTAGGGCAGAGAAACAATTTCCACGGAGCTATTGTTGTGGCTCTCAGTAGCCACCTCTGGCTGGGCTACTGGAGCACGCGTCTCCACGAAGAGATCGGCAAATGTGTCGTCCATGTTTAGCGTGCGATCAATGGCTTCGTCGAGTACCAGTGGCGTGCGATTGAGTTGCGGCGAGCGCGGATCATTCAATGAAAAACCTTTCAACAGGCGCTTTCGCAGCTGCGCAAAAGCATTTTCGTTGCCCGTTTGCTGCATCTGGCATATTTGCGGCTCAGCTGCCAATATCTAGAGAAAAAGTGTCTTTAGGAAACTAATAACATGAATATGGTATACACTTACATTTAATGGTGTGCGACAGATGTTCGGCGAGCGTGGATCTAGCGTCGCAATATTTTCCCTGCAGGGGCTCATTGAAATCGCTATGGTTGATCTCTGCGCAGCAGTTGCAGCGCCAGCAAGACGTAATCTGTTTAAAGTTGGCGTGTCTGGCAAGTAGGTGCCCTCCATTTTAGTTGCTTTGGTGCCCATAGCAATCAAATATAATTTTCAATTTTCAATGCTGCGCTGTTGTATTTGAAATGAAAAATGCGGGAGACGTTGCTAGCGTCGATATACTTATATTTATATATGTATATCGATTGTATAAATATATATCACTATATTTTGTCATGTATGCTGGCAATACTCTAATATACTACTGCTATCGGCGTTTACATTGGTGATGAGCAAAGCACAATCGATATAACATTTTTCGATTGAACTGGCTACACGGATGGATTAAAAWAAARAARAAAAAAAAAAAAAAAAAAGAATTGAGTGCCTTTTTTTAATTATTTCGAACTAAGAGAGCAACTCAAATATTAAACAGTATTAGTTATAACAAATGTGCGCGTGTGTGCAGAGTATGTGAAAAATATTTTGTAAGCGGCGAAAGCTTAAATGGCTATTGCGAACACCAAATGTAAGTTATTGGAATTAACAAACCCCGAGCTGAAAGTAATTGTTAAATATAAATGATCGGTTTTGTGTAATTTGGTCGCCGGGAAAATTATTTCGGTAATTTTTACGCAGTAGACAAATTATATTTTCGTTGAGTGTGTGTGTATGTAGCCCCTGCATAAGGCACCGAAAGCAGCAGTAAATTTTGTTTCGTATATACATACACATGTATATGTCTTTTTTTTTTTCAATAGCCCTCTCCTTTACACATATATTCAGGCATATATGCTGCACTCCCCATGCTTCGTTCGGCGCGGAGACTTTTGAGGCAACGCGTAAAATAAACTAGTTTGTATGTTGCCAACTACTTTGCCTATACAGCCACATCTTGTCTTACATTAATGTAGGTTAGTACACGGCAGCAAGGCGTCACCCCATATATTGTAGCAATAATTTTTTTTTTTTTTTGTTTCATTTTAAAATTTTTTATTTTTTTGGTTTCATTCAATTAAACCACTTGGTGTTCATAGCCGGCGAGCGAAAAGTAAACAATTTGTCCACGCAGTTGGCAACGCGGCCACTTTGTAGACTTTCTCTCTTGTTCCAAATATATACAAATGCATGTATACGGATGAGCATGTGCATGTGTATGTATTCCACGGGAAACAACGAAATTTCATTCATTCCTTGTTTTCGAGTAAAAACTACACGCTACGTGTAGTACGGTCGCCATATACAATTACAATGTCAGTTGTACACACACATGCTCGTGTTTACTTGTAAATAATTTTCAATGCAAGTATACATACACACAACATGTACATATATATGCAAGCCTACTTTATTTGTAGGCAATCAACGGATCTAATTGTGCAACATGTTATAATTGCAAACGAGCGTTAGAAAACAGCAGCTAAATAGTTTCAAGACTGCAGCTGCTGTCGATTTTGGGTACAGGGTGTGTCGTCGCGGCCTGCGAGTGTGTCAGGTGCAAAGACGTTGACGCAAAAGCAACGGCAGAGTAAAAGTCTCCACGCGACCAGAAGATACTTGGACATTCCAGAATTCAACATAGACGGCAATGAGCGTCGTTTGATTGCCATCCATTGGCCGCGTTTTTTCACACATTCCACGCGCTGTTAGACATACATATATACAAACACTTGTACGGTGACTATTGATTTCAATCAACTTTGTCTGCTTCTACTCGCTCTTTCTCTCTCTCTTTTTCTCAGGCTCAGCCACTCTCTCTTTATGCCCATTTGTCAATTAAGCAGCACGTCCGCTTGTCGGCTCACCAACAATTTGCCGCTGTATATGTTTGTGTGTGTAGATACATATGTGTGTGTAAATTCCATTTCCTGTTTATAGTAGGTATGCTGCACACACCAACACACACAAAGAAGCTCCCGTCTGCTTGGGCCCCATGTTCAGGTCGTCTCGGCTTGCCACCACCATCACACAGCGTCGGTCGTTGTCGTCTGTATATTTTTTCTCACTCCATAGTCTGATGCCTCGTCGGTAGCAGTCGCAGCCGCAGCCGCAGTCGCAGCAGAAGCAGCAGGCATCGGCGGAGCGCTATGTACAGTACGTGCCACTTCCTTTACATTCAGAAAAATAAAAATTGTTCACACACACGCATATACATACACGATATGTATATACACACTCACACATACATATACAGAATGTGACGGGCGGGCCAAAACGACTGACAGACGGACAATCCAACGGGGAGCGTTCGTTTGGCGTCTGCGCCGTGTTTCGGTTATAGTTGTAGTTATTTGTGTTGTTTTTGTACAGTTGCAAAGACACAAATACAGGCGAGAGAGTGCGGACGAAAACGAGTTTTTCTGTGTTGAACGATGTGGCAACGCCAAAATCCTCCCGGTTCCCCTTTGTGTTTGCTTATTAGAAAGAAGAAAAATGCCGCTGCGCGTTGTGTTGCTGTCTTTACGTAAGAAGGCCGTCGAACTCTACACTGAGAGAGCGGCATGCAAATAATGCGCGAGAGAATCGCGAATGTGAGCGAGTGAGTGCCAATGCCTGTGCTTGCTGTGTGTGCTCGTCTAATGATTACCGTTACAATTTGCATTGGCTGTCTAGTCTGACAACCGTCTCGCGACCCAGACTAGACGACCCAGCCCCAATCTCAAATTGGCAACTTTTTTTTACATGACCTTTCCCGTCATCGCCAAATGACGCTGAGCTTGAATGCGTGTGATTGTGTGTGTAGCGCTTAAAAGTTTGCAGTTTAATTCGTATTGATTATTTTGCACTAGTCCGTAGAAAATGATGTTTCTTCCGAGATACTTTGCGTGCGTTTGTTTAGCTCAGGGTCAATGTCCTAACAATACAAGTGCAACTAGTAAGGAATGAAGACTAAGTAATGATAACATGGATAAAACTTAGCATAGACACATATCCTAGTTTTGCGTGAAAGCTATGATCAATAAAATATTGAATCCGGTTATATGTATGTGTCTCGAATTTAGTGTGAGAGAAATTTGCCGTTATATATTTGTCAATATTTAAATATTATATGCATTCCATAACTATGACAGTCTGGCAACCCCGCAATCCTTGGCGCGCGCGTACAAAGCCTCGTTTTTATTTTTGGCGCGCACAACATGTCAGAAAAAAAATAAAGAAAATAAAAGGCCAGACTCAATGCAATGCCTCGAGGAATGTTGTTTACGTGCGCGCCTGCGCATCAACCAAGATTTCCACGAATTCACTAAAACAAGCATCCAAGTAGCAGAAAATGTTGTCGTCCCAGTCTGGACCTCATCCTGTTCGTCCCGTTCGTCTACCTGCTTTTAAACCGCCGCGCTGCGTCGCTTCTTGTTTGTGTGCAATTTAGCTCCTCCAAACTTGGCGGCGGCGGCATGTCAACATGTTGATCCTACTATAGCGTGCGAAACGTTCTGGCAACACCAAAACAAAAACAACAGGCCCCAAGCCGTACCGTACGTTGTTGTTATTTATGTTATTTGGAGGTGTATGTGTGCGGGCCGCCAATGCCTAAATTACACACACATGCATACTTATGCATACATATGAAGAGAAAAGAAAACGTTGGCGTTGGCGTCTACTTTGGTCTCTCATTTAATCAGTCTGGCCACGCTTTGCTCTTGCTCTTTGCTGTTTTCGTCAGTTGTCTTTCATAGCGTTTGCGATGCGGTTGTGTTTTCTGAGCGACCGATGCCGCTGCTGCTGCTAGTGACGGCGTCGGCATCGGCTTCATGCCAAGTGATTTTGTTTTTAATATAAATTATTTTTGGTAACCAATGGAAATACAAAACAAAAATATATATATTCTTTTCAATGTAGTGAACGAAAGAAATACTCAGGATTTAAAAAACTGCTAACTGGGTTTATTGGTGTTTGTGGTTTTCATCGTCTCTTTGTGCATCATTCATGAAAATTGTAGTTTATGGATTGATTTAATACAATAAAATGAAATTTCAATTGAAGAACTATTCATAAATAGTGTCAATATATATTTTTCATAACCTGTACTTGTTCTGCATCGCCCGCGCCCCGTTTGCTTGAGCGAAATTCTTAGAATTCTTAACATTCCCGCGCGCATACACACACATATATATGCTTATACATACAGACGAGTAGCTAAAAATTAAAAAAATATATATACACATACATTTATACATTTATATAAATTGTACTCTCCCTACGCGTCGTACGAAGTGTAGACATAAACACACACACAAGCGCATGCACTTGAACTCTCACGCACGCACACCAATACACACTAACACAAACATTTGTACTCTATCCAACACACCTCGAAAAATGGTTGTTGTCGCCACTAAGTGGAGACAATTGCTGTCTCTTTTACACGCACTCACTAACAAAAACTAGTAGGACTTGTTTTTTGCGTTGTTTTTACGCAAAAGCAAAAAAACCGGTAAGATTTCAGAAGCGACGATAGCAGCAGCAGAACAACAGAATTGTCATTGTGTGCGTATGTGTGTCTGAATGCAGTGTGCTTGTGTTGGTGTATCTTCGCTGTGGTAGAATACCACGTTAATCATAGTTTTCACACACCGCTTTTCTTACAGTTTTGTAAACATGTACACACACACATGCATATGCATATACATACACACAAACGCATACTAGCAGATACCGAGCAACGAACTCGGGCAGCAGCGACGCCCAAGAATGAAACAGCATAAGGCAACGTGAAAACTACAGCAACAACAAACAACACGGCAGCATAAAAACATAGAGAAAGCGAAAGAGAGAGGCAGAGACCGAGAGTGAGAGAGAGAGAGAGAAAGCAGGAGAGAAGCAGTTTTACGGCAACGACCCGAGCAGAAGCTGCCGCAACAGCAGAAGTAGCAGCAGAAGCAGTAATATTAGCGGGCGTTGTTGTTGACGTTCTCTTGAATGCTGCCAATTGTCATGTATGTATATGTATGCAAACTTTGTTGTTGTTGTTGTCTTGCATGTAGTTTATGCTTTCTATTAGTAATATTTATTACCAATTGCTTCGCCACTGGCAATGACCAAGATCAACGAACTTGTTTTGCTCTTTATTGGTGTCGTCGTTGTTTTTAATATTATTGTTATTATTAGTGATAGGCAAATACCTATTGAAAAAGTAACAACAGCGCAAAAGAACAGTAAAATGGGATGGTGATCTTGACCTACGCGCGCGCAAGTTCAAAATGGTTATTCAACTTGTACTTTGTGCGGCTTCCTTCTAGTTCCTCTCGCATTGCAGATTTCAATTTTCAAAACGGAAATTTTAATAACGGACGCGACGTTGTCAATCCAACACATCACATACACACACGCACACATATGCACACATACAAACCAACACACGCATGAAAAGAAATCTCGAAATTTGTGCTTTTAATTGCATTTACGTTTCTTTGTTTTGTATTTATTTTTCGGTTTAAATATTCAATTTCTTAATGTCCGTATATAAATTTGGAAATTGTTATCATAAAATTGGCGACTAATTGACGGGCTTTGGTGTCGGCGCCATAATAAAAAAAAATAAATAAATGCAATATATAAATATATATGTATATATGTATATACACATAAATATTATTGAGGCTTCTGACACGGTTGCCACTTGTACTTGTACCAAGCTTACATTAATGTGAGCCAAAGATTTTATTTTTATGCAAAAAAAAGTCCAATTTTTTTTTGTGTAAATTAAAAAATTTATATTTTATCATATCTTTATTTTGCTAATAACAATTTGTTACAAATTTCGATTGATATAATAAGTATTTGCAAATAGATATGTTTACCAAAAAAATGTGTAGACTTTACGTTGACTAAATTTGGTACATATTTACCACGTGTGGCAACCTTGGCGTTTATCAGTGCCATAAGTGACGTTTATTTGTTTTTCTTCTCTATTTATGTGTGTATGTGTATGCATATTGATTGTTTACTGTTAATGGCGTGCAATGATCATGTTATATTATCATATTGTTTATTTTAAGTGTCTGTGCTTATTGATGTCGTCGTCGTTGCTGTTGTTGTTATTGTTATTGCCGTGTGTTAACGTATTATTATCGCTTAATAAATAGCGTACGCTATATTTGTTTTCATTCAATTTTGCTCAAGCTATAACGCCGGACGGCTTCATTCAGATTTGTGTAGCACAGCAACCACACCGCTCCCCATCTACTCATCATCATCGTCGTCACCATCATTATCATCATTGCCAGTGTTATAAAGTTGGTTTCGCTTCTGTTTTATTTTTAGTTTGTTTTTATTTATATTTGTGCGGCGTCCAAGCAAAAGCCGGCGGTGAGAACTAACAGAAATGAACGAAGTAACAGTAATATTTAAACTGCAGCAGACTAACAGAAAGGTCGGGGGAGAGAGTCTCCACTCAACGAACAGCATGGGAGAGAGCGGGAGCGGGAGCGCGGCCGAGTGAGAGACCAAGAGAGAGAGAGAGAGAGAGAGAGAGCGAGAGAGAGAGAGAGAGTTGTGTCATTCTTCAAAGTGGTTGTGAAATGTTTGCTTTTTCTGCCTACTCATATCACAGCCAGCTTTGAGGAGCGACACGATGCTCAGTCCAAAATTCAAAACATAAAAAACAAAATTAAAAAAAAGACAAGAAACTAAGATATCCTAAAACATAAAAAATAAAAACAAAAATTCTGGTAAAAAAAAAAAACGATACGTATCATAATAAAGATAATACAAAATAATTCAAAAATGAATAACAAATATTTTTAAATATAATAAAAATAAAACATAAAAAAATATACATTCAAAAACATAATTTAATCTGCACTAGTTTTATTCGTAGTTCAAATGAACTGTTACATAAATCATTGAACAAAATTATAATTCATGGTGCCCTCCTGAGATCCCTCCAAATGTACTTTTACAAATCAAACTTTATATATATATATGTGTGTGTAATGTCTATTTATCTATCTATCTATATACCTGTTCCTCTTTCTATCATAAGAATTGGCCACATTCATGCTGAGCTCTCAAAGAGGCTGTGAAATGCATTTTGAAAGCTTTGCGAGCATATCACAGCCAGCTTTGATGAGCTTAGCGTAATGTAACGTACATCAATCAATCAGTCAATCAATCAAATCAATTCAAGTCAATCATAATGTAGCTCGCACTCAAATAACACCCGTTGAAGACGGACCTGGAATTGGAGCAAGTCATCAAGTAAATTGTGACCAAATAAGAGCAATAGGAAATAAATAGAAAAGAAATAACTTTCCTTCCTTCAATACTGATTTCTGTTGCATATTAGGCTAAACGTAAATGGAGAAGGAAACTTAGAAAACTATGAGAGATGAGAGATATTAGAAATAATATTGTGATGGCTCTAGATTAGGAGTCGGAATCGTCGGACCGCCTAAATAAAAACAAATTCATCACAGACAAGGATATAGATTCAAATGAAATCAGAAACAATGACATGTTTTTAAGACTGTTTTTATTTCAATTGCAATTCCTTTTCCTATTGCTCTTATTCGGCCAGCCTGTATTATAATGTGGAACATCAGTTTAAAAAATCAATCGGAACTCTGCATCAAAAGAAATTTGATGTTGCTTATCTAAGCCTCATCAAGTGGTTGTGATATGGATACCCGACGCATATCACAGCCAGCTTTGATGAGCTAGGATAATCAACGGAAAACAACAAGAGAAACAATTGAAAAAAAAAAAATCAACAAAAATGAAAGGAAAATTGAACAAATTCGAGTGAAATTGTGTCTTTAATTATATATTTGATACAAGTTAATAAGCCATTCAGATTGCATTTTATTTATCATGCCATTTAGCTGACATTTATTTGAATCTTGAAAATTTGCGTTAATGATTATCGAATAATTCGATTTTCCGACAATTTACTAATGCATTTGTATCTTTTTCACAGATACGCCGATCCGCACACTCGCACACACACACAGACTCTGACGCATATGCAGACACAGATACTCTGCTGCATATGCAGATACAGATACTGTACTCGACCGAACCGAATTCCAAAGAGCCTTTGATGACGACGCCTCGCTGTGCATAACGACATTTGTTAAATACTTTGTGATAGTCTTGTTTATCGTTTTATTTAATTGTTTTATACACACAAAATAGTAGTATTGTAAGATCTTAAGAGAAACCAAACAAAGTTGCAAACCAAATAGAAAGAAATCGAACAAAAGCCTGCAAATGCATTCCACAAGCACAGCCACAAGAGTATTCGACAGATTGAGAATGGGCATTCTGCTGCTGCTGTTCAGCTGCCTGGGCTGTCCGGCTTTGATCGAGGCATGCTCCAGCCGCACCGTGCCGAAGCCCCGTCCGTCGGTCTCGTCGTCCATGTCGGGCATTGCATTGGCGCCCACACAGCCGCCGGCTACAACAACAACAACGACAATGCGAACCACCACAACAACGACAACACCGAGGCCAAACATCACATTCCCCACATACAAGTGTCCGGAGAACTTCGACGCCTGGTACTGTCTGAATGACGCCCATTGCTTCGCCGTGAAGATCGCCGAGCTGCCCGTCTACAGCTGCGAGTGCGCCATTGGCTTCATGGGTCAGCGCTGCGAGTATAAGGAAATCGACGGCTCCTATCTGCCCAAGCGACCGCGTCCCATGCTCGAGAAGGCCAGCATCGCCAGCGGTGCGATGTGCGCCCTCGTCTTGATGCTGTTCGTCTGCCTTGTGTTCTACTTGCGCTTCGAGCAGCGCGCGGCCAAGGAGCGCGAGCTCCAGGAGGACGACCTCGACGATGAGGAGGAGGAGTGCAGCGATGGCGATCATTGCGAGTGCTGTCGCGACCGCTGCTGCGCCTCGGGCGATGAGCCGCTCGTGACGCGTGGCAAGCTGCCCTACCATATGCGGCTGGAGCACGCCCTGATGTCCTTCGCCATCAGGCGCAGCACCAAGCTCTAAACTCAAACTGAATCTGACACAGAAATCTAAAAACAGAATTTCCACTTAGCTATAGACGAGTATATATTTGAGCTATCTCAAATGATTTCTGCCTTGCCCGTTATGCATGTCATGCCGAAAATGCGTACTACGAATTTCTATGTGCTTTAGTCGTAGCTTAATGTTCCATTATACATACCACATAAACATACTGTCCTATTTACTAAATGTTACGTGTAACAAGCTCTGTATTCCAAGTTCTTGTGCGTATCTTGGACCTGAGATGAGATTTTTCGCTTCTCTAATTATCGTGAATCGAATATGTATTTTTATTATACCTTATGCTAGAGCTATATTTATTTTACTCTATAACTATTATACATACATGTATATCATAGCATATATATGTACATGCACGAACACATCCACAATGATCCACGTCAAGTATTATTTATTGCACTAGCTATGTATGAATTACAATGAGAATTTTTTAAATAAACATGCGCTGCACTTGCATATTATTTATGCCAAGGGAGCAGGTCCCAGATTCTCTTGTGTTTTTGATTGCAATTCAGTTGTAAGAAACTCATATATGAGTTATTCATGATAATTCGGAATGGCAGGGGATCAGTTATTTTTCGATTTAAGCAGAAATTCAAATTATCGAGAGTTATCAAAAACGATACTTTTTCGATTTATAGCGGTTTTTGATCGGGGTACAAATTATCGAGACTCGACTGTATGAAAATAGTTGAATTAACGGTAATCAAGATGCTAAAAATGCCGTTACATACTTTTAGGCTTTTACTGGAAACATTGGGGGAAGAACACGAAAAACGATTTTACAATTTTAAACTCGTGCTTGGATGAATTCTGGAATTGCCAAAAACGAATATTTCATTGTTAGACTTTAATTAATTATACCTGCATTCATTTTGACTTATTTTCTTGGCAAATTTGCTCCTTTATATGTAAATGTTTCTGATTTTCCATTAGTTTTGATTATTGTCAACACTATTTAGTATTGTACATATGTATGTATAACAGGATCACGATTAGGATCAGGAACATTAGTGGAGTCTGACTCCAATGTTTGGATATTCCGATGATTGCCAGTTATCTATATATATTGAGATCGAGGGCCACAAACTGCCGAAGGATAACGAAATCCTTGCCTTGGCCTTTGAATATTCCGGTTTGCGTGTAGCCGTAGAACTGGGCCGAAGGCAGCGAATCCCGGGAATGGGTGGTCACTTATCATAGCCGCCTATCCCCATGTCGTCACCAGTTATCTACAGCGCTACATGGGTGGCCGGCTTACACTTGGTTTCACGAGGCAGTTCCTGAAGATGATCGCGAATCCAATGCATCTAGCTGAGTTGCTTTTCACTTTCATTTGATTATCTGACTGGGTGTCTATAGAAAGTTGTTTGTGCCCTTGAGATACAGATATACAACGGCTCTTCAGTATTAACGATTTTGATTGAACGAAACAGTTTCTATTTTTATCAATTGATAATAATCGTGCAATGTTCAGTTTAATTAAGAATGCCAACTAATGATAAGCGGTTAAGTAGAAATGATAATCTTATGAGCGACGTGTTCACGTTCTTAGATAAGGCCATCATGAGTTGCTGGAATTATGTACAAACCCTATGATAGTCTACATGAATGGGTGTACGTACGCACGTAGATTATAAAACCTAGACAGATTTGAATACTCAAATAAATGGTGATAAAGGTATGGGCATTGCAGTCAGCTACTACCGATTGTATAATACTCATTCAGGGTACAACAGCCGTATGGTATGGTAAATTGGGCGGGAAGCAGTCTGAATAAATCTCAATCAGAGGTTTTTAATTTCACATGTTTAACTTAAATACCGGCGAAAGCCGAGAATTTTAGTTTATCTAGAGATATTGGTAAATAAAGTGCTATGAAAGACAGATAGATAATTCCAGCTATGTAAACATTTTATCAAAATATATAATATATATATAATAAGATTCCGAATCGAGTTATTCTGGAAGAAGTCCTATGGAATTTAACATTCTTTAGTAATAGTAATCCCATAGAGTATAGTAGTTGTGCTCTACCCTCTTTTGAATAAATATTTATTTTCTGATATCACAACTGGGGGCGTTGCAAATTTGGAATTACCACTGCATCTCTGCTATAATATATAGAACTTCAGATTTCAGATATAAATATATATGTATAGGTATCTAGCCATGTTCTAGTTCAATAAAAAGTGTGCATAATATACATATAAACATATCTATAGGATCTTATATCTTCGACAAATTTTGGATCAGCCTACAATATAAAAGGTCTATAAATACGATTCTGCTGCCTAAACATCATACTTAATTGTTATTGGATTGAAGATTGTAGATAGTTTAAAAAAATATATTTTATTCTTATATATTTCAAGATAGAGCCTATTCAATTCAGCGTGCGTGTAAGACATTTATCTCTTGGCATAGCTGATACTGTCATAAAAGTATGATTCGTATTACAAATGAGTTGTACGTGCCTAGCAAAAGGCAACGACTATATAATATAATAATAAAAACGATCTTATCTATAATTCCCCGTGAACTGCAGGCCAATTTACTTATGGGGGAATTCCAGTGCCGGCATGAGGTATGTATTGTTGGGGAATTCACGGCTTTAAAGTCTAAAGCAGTTTTCGATTCAGATTGAATAACAGAGGGTCGCGCGGTTGCGATAAGGAAAACTGATCACACAAATCTGTTTTAAAGTGTCGCCAAATAATCTCCGTCCGATTTAGAACTGCCTTGAAATTGATTTTATTTTATGATAGAGCCCCTTCATTGGACCATAGCTGCTGAGCACCAGCGAAATAAGCGTTATGCACTTCATCAAGATCTGGAAGTCGGCCTTGGTGCGGCTCTTAAAATAGCCCGTCTCATACCCGTAATACTGGGTGACTAAGGCGATGACAAAGCAGACGAAACCCAGGAAATTGTGGAATGTTTTGTTTAGCAGCGGCGTGATCAGTTTCTTAACGCGCGCCGAGCAGAGAGCTGCCAGCCCGGAGCTCATGGCCAGGAGACAGAGTATAAAGGCGGTAATGCCTAGGAAGAATACCCGATTATTTATGTTCCTCTTTGAGCGAATCCCGTTCACTTACCCAATCTGCCGTGGACGGACTGCAGCAGAAATCCCTTCTGTATCATTTTGATCAGGGCACCGGCTGCCCCACAGCCACCGCCCAGCGTCAGTAGGATCCAATGGATTGTGGTCTTGGTGGATCGCTTGTAGCTGTTCGTTAGCACATTGCCTCCATAGTGGACCATTACGCCTTCCGCCATGAAGAAGGAGAACTGCGACATGCCAGGGGGAAAACTTAAATGCTGTTCAATTCGGGCCGAGGGACAACTTACCCCAATGGTAACCAGCCAGGCGTGCAGGCTGGTGCCTGCGAGGCCCGTCTGCAGCGTGAGATACGATATGTAGATGGTAACAAATCCAATGCACATTTGGTTCAGCACATTCAGAGAGTATTCCAGGCGCTGCAGCGGCTGCTCGGTCTCACTAAGCGGCAATTTGTGCGACATTCTCGAATATCGATGGCCACCGGAAGATTCGTTCAGATGCACAAAGGCGGACGATCGATGGGCTCGTGCCGTTGGAGCTGTTGGAGGCGATTGCGGGAGCAGATTCTTGGCTGAGTCGCTTGTGCTGCCGTAGTCGATCACTTTCTGCGTGCTACTGATGACCGGCGGGAGATGTTCTGTCATCGTGGCCCTAAATACTTGGTCTTAATACCCTGTAACTGAAAATAAGAGAGAGAGAGAGAGATTGGGCTATAAATCTTCAGCTCGTCAAATTCATATTTAGCAGCAAAAGTCAAGTCAGCTCAGGTCATTCAAGCCGTTTGTTTCGAATCGATATGTATCGATTTCAATGAAATATCGGTAAGCTTAGCATGATATCGAATTCGAAATGTTCCCTTCTGGCAAAGGAGAAGAGAGGAGGCATGTGAATATCAATGAAACCCAGTAGAGGGCATCTGGTAGTCGAGCATCTGGAGGTCGATATAGTGTGTACGGCATGCTTATCAGTGGGGAAACAATAATGTTATTTTCGTGTTAAATTTATTAGCTACAACAAAAACAAGCTCGCCGACTGATAATTGCGTCCAACAACTATTTTATGAGCCTGGAAAGCGCTGACTGTGCTTTTTTGCTTTTTATTTTGGGGTTTCGTTACATTCAAATTCACGGCAATTATTATTTTCGATTTGTCGTCGGCCGAAATCATAAAAGCCAATAGCCAATTTATATGAGCTACAATTTATTGCAGTTTTCCGCGAGTCAGAAGTACGCCCATTGACTATAGCCAGTTCACTAATCTCAGTTCAGTATGGGTACAGCGCGAAGTCGACTCGGGGTCGAGTCGACATTAATGACGCCTCAGTCTGCAGCTATAACTGGTATTGTCAACCGCAAACCGCAAATAACCCATATTGCTATTCGCATACATATACCCAATAGATCACATGACAGTCGACTTTTAATATACATATAGGGGCAAAATATAAAAGTTATATGAAAATTCATTGATAGATCAAGGCCAGCAAGAGCATCGATATTAAAGGCATATTTATATTTGATAAGAAAACAATTACAGGGCATTTACTAGTCGGGTACGAATGCCTCCATTTGATATATATTGCATTTAAATTTTAAATATAATATATATACATTTGTTTATTGCAAGAGAAAACGAATCTCTGGGGATGCTGTACACAAATTTGAATTGCTTTTAGGCAGTGCTTTGCTTTGATATACCCTGTATCTCGAGACGAACCATAATCGCAATCAACTATCGATGCTGTTATCAAATATAGTTTAAATTGAACGACTTCAAGAAAACTGACGTACACAGAGATAAATTGATGTACAGATAGATAGGCAGGCGCACAGATAAACAGATATATAGAAAGTTAGACATACCGACAGAAATGCCTTAATATATTTAATATTTAACGTGAGCAACTGCATGAATAGCTCTCTC